CCAATGGGGTGATAGAATTCTTTTTAAAAACAATGCTATAAAAAGATATAAGCATAATATAAAAGTATGATACATACCATGAAAGCAATCTATCTATGAAACCCTAAAGAAAAGACATTGGTAGATCCAAAACCTCAGAATATGCAGCGCAGCATTAACACCTAGATTGAATTAGCTCACTCACGTAATGATGTAATGACATTTGTAAATTATATTTATATAGTATGTGTAAAAATTATTGCCCAAAACCACTCCATCTGGAACTACCATGGTACTGGGAATTGGCCCCAATAAATAACATGTTATTCAATAAAACGTACCACATAGTTTCGAGTCAAGATAAGTCATGACAAATCAACTAATGAATCATAAATTATTTAAATGATGTAAAATAATAAAGTGCGATATATACACCATAAAAAACAGAAATATTAAGCTCCGTTTCACAGCAAGCAAAACAGTAATTTTTAAATTGCATCATGGATGTACTAGACCTGGGTACAATTTGCATAACATTGCGTACCAGGTCAAACCTGGGAAGGTTAGATATTAATTCTATAAATAAATCAATTCAGTAGTTGTAGCAAAAGCCAGCGGGCATCAATACGAACTGAAACGATCAAAATTATTTTATAATGAATCAAAATAATCAAAGCCTAATCTTTATTTCCTAAAAAGCTATGCTGTTTATGTTATAGTTTTATTACCACTGTAAAGTGGGATCATGAGATTGTATTGTTCAAAGTGTAGTGTACCTTAACATGCCAGATAGAAATTTCTCACGCTTCAACTACAGTCACCATCTGACTCTGGGTTTGGGTTTGTTTCCAGTAACGAGAACCACTTTTGTTCAGTACATTTTGGATATCATTTTATTATGCAGAGTCTATCAAGGTTATATCCAAACAAAAAAGTTAAAAATTTAATATATAGAAATATAAAAGTAAATAAAATATTAATTAATATCAAGCTGTCCTGCACCATTTATTTATATTATAGTTTTCATCCAATTGGAAGTTTAATTAGACACGCTCAATATCACATTACACAATTAATTTCTGTGTCACTTATTAAGATAATAAATTGACAAGCACAAAGACATCACTCCCTGTTAAGTTAATTTAACTGATGCATTGATTGATAGATAGTGCAATAATCTGATCAAAATGAACTTCCTGTTCGTTAAATTACAGCAGCTTATCTGACACATCGTGTCATCATTTTCAAAATAGACACAATCTGTTTTAAGGAGGTTTTTTTTTTTGCGACATGTTATTGCTGTTCTCACAAGTTTGGTAAATGATTTTAGTTCTGCTCATGGTAAAATATTACTGTCAAATAAAAAAATATTTAAAAATTCTTATTTCGTGTGGTACTATAGAGCCTTGCCACTAAAGCTTGAAATACAGCTAAAATATATCCCCTGCCTCCAAAAAAGAATATACCGGTAATGTCAAAATATACTCCCACCTCCAACAATAATTATGTAAAAATATGCCCCACCCCAACAAAGAAATATAGCAATTATATCAAAATAAATCCTTCTTCCAACAAAGAAAAACAACGATTATTCGTACGCCTGCTGAAAAAAAGGAAAATCTTCTATTTTGGTTATTAAATAATGATGACACTTTTAACCACTGTGAAATGCGTGTTTTGTGGATGGGAAGTGAAAATTTTATTTATTCACCCAACCTTTGTTTATTATCAATATTATAAATAGCATGACCACTGCAATGATTACTACGTTCACGTTACAGGATCACGTGCCGAAATTTTTAATCCGTTGTGTTTGCAGAGGGATTACAGCAGTTGTGTTCACGATATTGAGGACCAACTGGGCTCGTGCCGAAATTACGCTCTCATTCGTCGATCTGTTGGCCCAAACATGGAAAATGATACGCATATGATGATAATAATAATTGTTATAGTGAAATTATATTCAATTGTTGAAATGGTGTTTATTACGAGCCATCGTGCACGTGAACGGCAGAGAAGATTCGAAACACAATTATTTTTTTCACGTCAATGTAAAATGTGTAAGAAAATAGAGGTTGCAGCAGCACATAAATATGCGTCGCTGACGACTGTTTACATTCATTTCATTCATTACTACAGCATCCGAACATATATTAGTATATCTGAAGTTCCTGTCATCGTCATTTCATGCTAGTATCAATCAACATATGTTTTTCTTAAATTTACCACCGAAGGCGTGATTTCGGTTCGTGCCGAGCATTCAGGCAGCAAATCTCGCCACGTGCCGAGTTTCGGTCCCAAGCATCTATCGGAACCGATATAGAGTTCTTTTCGGCACGTGCCGACTCGGCCCGACCTTTGACACACAATTGCCGAAATCTCTAATGTGAACGCCACTGTAATCACTAGACTAATATATCTCACAGTGGGATCTAGTCTGCATAGTTTAAAACAATATACAATTCACTGTAAAATGACTAATATTCACTGGGTTTAAATTTCGCTGATTTACCATTTCAGGCATATTCAGTGGGTTTTAAATTTACGATTTTATCATTTAGATAATGTGTTCTATGTTAAATTTAACATATTCACTGGGTTTTAATTTAGCGCATTTTCCAGTCAGCGAAATAAGCAAAATTAAAACCCAGTGAATAATTAACCCCTTTACAGTATTAATACTGAGAAAACCTAAATTAACCTATTCTCCATATGAGAACAGTTCCTCCTACTTTAGTTGCAGACAGCATCCTGTTTAGTCTACACATCCTCATTCAGGAATAGTGTTGTATTTTAATATGGACCAGATTACAAGTGATGAGAATCTATAAATAGATGGTAACTAGGCGTCCCTTCCATGGGCTTAATTCTCATTGCATGCTACATATGTACGAGTGGTGATTTTCTCAGCAGTATTCGGTCACAGGGCTTGCCGAATACCAGACCACAAATCAGGGTTGCAAAGTGTATAATGTTTAGGACAAAAGAATGCATTGTACTGAATGAATGAGAGGAATTCCCTCCCCAGCATATTACGTTCATTCATTTGGTCTTAACACTGGGAAATTCCATTTTAAGTGAATTGGCCTTACTCGCAAATGTTCGCAGAGATCTCTTTGACAGTGAGAGAGCCATATGATTTGTTAATGTCTTGCAAATAGTGTTTCGTACTCTTACCGCATCCACTGATCCAAATACCTTGATTGCACACGGCAGGTAAACAATGGTCGGGATGATGGTGGAGAATGTAACAGTATTTGGGGGGTGGGGGCAAAAACAAATTGCGTTATGTGGCTCTCAGCCATTTTCAAATAGACTATCATATTGGTAGATAGGTACTATACTGGTAGAATATAACTTCTCGCTATATAGTGATAACTTGGTTTTCCACTTTACAAGACAGCGACTCTATTGTCATTTTCTACACACTATGAAAGTTCATTTGTCTGGCCTCTGACCTACTTGTATTACAACCCCCCCCCCAAGCCAGATGTGTGAAATAAGTGTGTGCTAACGGTAATCAAAATGATTGTTGTTTTGGAAAAGGGAGGTTAAGGGGGAGGGGCCACAGAATCAATGACAGTCAGAAAAGCTTAATTAAGGCAAAGGTAAACTGTTCCAAGGTTTTGTACTCAGGTGTGGTTTTGTTTGAATACTGTAACTTTTAGTGTTTAACAAAAATGTAAAGAATTTCAATGCCAGTTTATTTATATTCAGAAGAACAACACAATTTATATCGAGGAGATGTGAAGTCCGCTTTACATGAAATAAAAGAAAATGTCTAACTGTTATTCCTCAGTAATTCTAGTGAAAGTAAAGTGTTCTATTCTACAGTATGAATATATATACAGTACTCTCAGCACAACAAAGACATTCCCTTCATCTTTATAACTATAAATTTAACAGGCAGTTAAATGCAATTAGCCAATAAACTAGCAAATTTAAAAACAAAAACATTCAAATTAGCCAATAGAAACCTCTTGTTTTATTTTGAACTGTGAAATTCATAAATATATATAAAGATGGAGAAAATGCTTTTGTTGTGCTGAGAGTAAATGTAACAGCTTGATGAACCAATGTCTACTGGTAATAATCATGATATTCAGTACACAGTGTGTCAGCTTTATCATCAATAAACTACCTGGCTTCAGACATTCCTGTACATGTGTATGGTATCAAAAGCCACTAGTAACGAAACTGTTCAAACTGAAGTGATACTAGAGAATAGGAGCAGTTCCTGCCTAGTTACGGAACTGGGAATATTTATTAACAATCGTGAACATCTTTCAGTAGTACAGAAGCCAAATTTTTACGTATTAAAAGTTACCATTAAACGTGAATTATAATATTTATACGATGTTTATTCAACAACACTTGACATTTGGCTTTAATGTAGTGGAAACAACCAACATGAACTTGTGGTTTATTTCATTCCGCCATTTAGCATTGTCTGCCACGACTTTACTACACAAAGGCGGTCTTTTGTCAGCGTGTAACTAATTGTGTATCAAAACTGTATACTGTATATTGGGCATTGGGCTGTCATGTTTTCGGGTGCGGCTTTTGTCGCACCAGAGTGTGATAAACACGGGTGTTTCAATAGTTTTGTTCCAGACAGGACAAACTGAGTGACATTCGAGGTGGTGATCTCTCTGCGCACGTGAGAATTAAAAAAATGTCAACAAACTAGACTGCCGCAACGATCGTTTCGTTTTTGACACCAAATACTAAACAACGTCTATGAAAACTTCTGACAAAATAAAGTCGACGTGTTTACTATAAGGAACAAAATCCATAAACATGAGAACTCATTGGCATAACAAAGATGCTAAGATTTACGCAAATGATGTAAGAAGTTGAAGGTGAACGTCGTTAACCCGGAAGTGCAGTGTACAGTACTCGTCTTAGCGTATCTGCGAAGAAAACTGAATGTGTTGTGAGGTGGAAATTGATCTGAAAGAACAAGAATCCTCATTGAACGATTAAAATAAGACGCATTGTAAAACAAATGCTGTACATACCTACTATGTGTGTTCCGTTGCAAATAGGTATATCACCTGCCCGCCGTTCTACACCAACGTCACTGGTCGAAGTAATCCACTGACATGGGCGCGGGCGAATGACCACCCTGTAAATTCCCCACGTAACACAGTAGTTTTAGTTCACTGTAAACTGTTCGCAGTTGAAGACAAATCAACAAAAACATTCGGCCCGACTACTGTGTCGAGGCACCGATAAAACTGTTACTAAAATCGGCGTAAAAACAAGCGGGTAAACCTCACTCAACGATTTCGTCTTCTATGTGGTGGGGTCACCCACAATAAATATGGCCGCCCTATATTCAATTTATTCAATGCAAATGGAGTCTCGCAAATGACATACCAAGCATAGTGTATAGAGGGCGTTGTCAGGGTGTGTTCCAGAGGGTGAGATCATGGAGATGGGGTCATCGACAGGGATAGGTTTGTGGTTTAACAATGAGAAACCTAAATATGTAGCTTATATTTTACCGGGCGTCGAGGTCGCTTTCAACGGATGGATAAAGACAAACAAACACGCATATTTTACGCATGACATGCGAGAAAGGCATCGATATCGTAATGATTCCGTCTTCATTACCGGAACTTTAGAAAATAAAGATGTCTATTGTGTTGTTTTCCTTCAGGGGTAACTCGAGGGGTCACAATTCCAAGGCTGTGCACTTTCCACATGATCACGAAGAGATCAGGTAATTCAAGTTTATAGAATGGCCTTCGCTTTTAGAAGGGTCAACCCAACTACATGAAAACCATTATCAGAAAATACATTAAATACCGGTACTTACAAACTGAGTAGATATGAGATATTTGAACTTTTCAAGGATTTATATACTAACTTTTACATTCGGAACAGTGGGTTCGGTAATTGCACATTCCGAAAAGTTTCAGATGGTACGGGTTACAGGAAATAAAAACAGCATTTTACGTTTTTACAGGAAATAAAATAAAAGTTCCATTTACAGTAAAAAAAATAAATATATATATATATATAGTTTTTCACACTCTACGGATAAAGCAAATTCCTAATTATATTTATACGTAATCGTGTGGATGATGATTCAGTTGGAAAATCACACATTGACCCGCATCTTAAATTTGCCAGGAGTAATGTCTCAGCTTACTGTCCAAATCTTGATTATTTCAAGGAATAATGTTCACCAATGCTTTAGCTTTCACAGAGAAAGAATAACGAAAATACAAAACCGTGCGAGGGAACGATGGCCAGATCATCTATTCGGACAAAAGACGTGTGTGCCGTACACGCTGCTTTTCACCCTGAGCATTATTATTTATTTTTATGTTGAATTGCAAGAAATATTTAAAATGAACAACAAATTTTAAATGCGAGACGTCATATAATTACCCCTGGTATATCAGACAAATGCAAATCGAATCAATAGTTCAACGTACTGATCACTATATATATATAGTATACAAAATCTTCGTAACTTTCTAAATACCAGTACATAATTGGTCGCTACAAGAGTGGTACAAATCTCTAGAAATGAACAAAACATGTTATTTTCACTGCATTTTATCGGTCGATTTCCCCAGTACGTTGACCTATGTATTTACTTAATTTATTCATCTTTGTAACTTGATATATCAAATATAAAAATAAAAAAAATGACAATATTATTTTCTTTTGTGTAGCACTGCACTCTACCTTATATGAAAAATCCGAACCTTCCCGTGAGGAGACAATTTTCGTTTGAGATTTTATTCACGAGTTTAATAATAACGATTCAGGTAAAGATGAGTGAATTAAAGTTTAAGATTTGCATTGATGGCGAGTATGTTACATGTAACAAGCAAGTATATGAGTATAAACAATTCGCAACCGTAACAGAACACGAAGTTGTCATTTCACCGCCGATGGCGCTATCTGCATTACACACAGAGCACGGTTACTAAACCATTTCGTTATTTTTAATTTCATACCCTTTTACGTTTGAAGAACCAAAGCCTTGTACATTATGGTGGACCATGTTTGAAAGAATTGTTGGCAGAATTTCGTCTTTTCTGAAACTTTCAAGTTGTTTACGCCAAAACTATTTATTTTCACTGTCAATTTCACTGGGTTTCAAGTTCAAGAACTTGACTGAAAAACAATGAGTTCTATTATTATTCTATATGTCCACGTGCATTTAATTTAGCGAATTTTACTTTATATCAACGAAAACAGTGAAAAACCAGCGAATATTACCAATCCTATTAACCTTAACCCTACCAACTAATATTTTTTGTTTTATACAAATTGTCGATGTTCTTCCCACACGCACATCTTCTTTGTTTCGTGTAGTCAACGATTAATGGCATTCACTATGACTTGGAGTTCATTGGATACAAAGTGTGCAAAATACCGTTACTGGAATCAATGAATTTGTTATCTATGGTCTAAAGGACTGGTCATTAGAGAATTATGAGTGAGAAAACGATGAACAACGATGGAGAACAACGATGCAACTGCTTAGTTTTGAGCTACATTTGTTTAGAGATGACGCTGGTGTAAACAAAAATAAAAATCCACTCTGAATGACCAAAGTCTATGAAGCTGAAGTAAATGGCCAACTACTTGTGTTCAAAAGTGCTTAGCCAATAACTACAATCATCTGCATATAAGACATATACCTCGGCTAATTCCAGGACCAAAATATATACCCAATATAATAATTAAAAATAATTGGGGAAAGAAATTGATAAAAGTCTGTCACACACAAGTTGCCAAACAAATGACACGTGAAGTAAAATTTTAATGGGAATCCATTTACTATATTGTAATTATGTTACCTTTATTGTCACATTGATGTCAGGGACTTTTAAGACTTTATGTGTTTATCAAACACATGGTGTCACACGCAACGTAATATTACCGTAATTGGTATAGTACAAGTGTGATGGTTCAAATACCAAAATGGCAACAGTAACAGAAAGACTTCCCTGGCGGCGATGATAAAATACGAACACGGAGCCAACAGATGAGGTTTCAACTGGTACTGGTATTATTATACTCTGCAAACATCAAGTACAATAACGCGGTAAAACTCCTCTACTCCAATAACTAGATACTTAAACTCCAATACAATTCAACGAGATCTCCGATCTGAACTCAGTGCTGAACAACTCCCCTATATATACCCACACTATCTATAAATAGACCATTACATGAGCATACATAATGAGTCTGGAATTTACTATAAATTTCTAGAATGTTCCATTACCTTCTATTGCCTCCTACAGTGTTCTATTACCTATTCAACCAGTTTCTAAAAAAAAATCTAGAATATTCCATCCAGACACAGTACGGTTCTAGAACATTCTCAGTGACACGGAAGTGGTAAATAAGTCATATGCGACACATGGATATTACTTTATGGCAAGAAAGGCCACATTCGATAGTGATTGTACTGTGTAGCGATTATGCAGCTAAGTCACGTGCATACGATAATATTATCCCTCTTGAGGTTCGACCACTAATCTTTCCTTTTTTTGGGGGGGGGGATAAGTTAGGGATAATATTTATCTCCTTCGTTCAACTCAGGGATAATATTATCTTCCTTATTGTTGGCACCACTCAGAGATAATATTATCTCCTTCGTTCAACTCAGGGATAATATTATCTTCCTTATTGTTGGCACCACTCAGAGATAATATTATCTTCTTCGTTCAACTCAGGGATATTATTATCTTTCTTATTGTTGGCACCACTCAGATATAATATTATCTCCTTCGTTCAACTCAGGGATATTATTATCTTCCTTATTGTTGGCACCACTCAGAGATAATATTATCTCATTCGTTCAACTCAGGGATAATATTATCTTCCTTATTGTTGGCACCACTCAGAGATAATATTATCTCCTTCGTTCAACTCAGGGATAATATTATCTTCCTTATTGTTGGCACCACTCAGAGATAATATTATCTCCTTCGTTCAACTCAGGGATAATATTATCTTCCTTATTGTTGGCACCACTCAGAGATAATATTATCTCCTTCGTTCAACTCAGGGATATTATTATCTTCCTTATTGTTGGCACCACTCAGAGATAATATTATCTCCCTTGTTGTTGGGATCACTAAGGGATAATATTATCTCCCTTGTTGTTGGCACCACTCAGAGATAATATTATCTCCTTTGTTCGACTCAGGGATAATATTATCTTCCTTATTGTTGGCACCACTCAGAGATAATATTATCTCCCTTGTTGTTGGGATCACTAAGGGATAATATTATCTCCCTTGTTGTTGGCACCACTCAGAGATAATATTATTTCCCTTGTTGTTGTGACCACTAAGAGATAATATTATCTCCCTTGTTGTTGGGACCACTCAGGGATAATATAATTTTCCTTGTTGCTGTGACCACTCAGAGATAATATTATCTCCCTTGTTGTTGGGACCACTCAGGGATAATATTATCTCCCTTGTTGTTGGGACCACTCAGGGATAATATTATCTCCCTTGTTGTTGGGACCACTCAGGGATAATATTATCTCCCTTGTTGTTGGGACCACTCAGGGATAATATTATCTCCCTTATTGCTGGGACCGCTAAGGGATAATATTATCTCCCTTGGTGTTAGGACCACTCGGAGATAATATAATCTCCCTTGTTGTTGGGACCACTCAGGGATAATATTATCTCCCTTGTTGTTGGGACCACTCAGGGATAATATTATCTCCCTTGTTGCTGAGTCTACTCGGGGATAACAATATCCCTTCATTTCGTGGGACCACTCGTGGATAATATTATCTCCTTCGTTCTTGTGACAACTCAGGGATAATATTATCTCTCTTGTTGTTGTTGTTGTTGTTACACTTATTTCCTGTCTGACATTACGCGGTTGATAACGGCAATGCTATAACGTCGTGTGAATAAAGATACAAAATAATCAAGCGAGTCCAGTACTTTACGGTGAATCTAAACGAAAGTAACAGTCGACATATGGATGATCGGCGAGGGCGCGCTGCTTACAAGAACACATGCTTGCCTGTGTGCTATAATCCGTACGTGTTGGTGAAGATGTCTGGTGTAACTAACGCTGTCGCAGATTTCGTATGGGGAAATCGACACTCTTTTGTGGCAGCTGCTTTTGCAACGAGCGCAGGAGTTTCGGCATATTGCGTGTATAAACTGTTAAACTCAGACAAAGAGAGAAAACACCGAGACAACGTATACGAGACACACAAGCTTTTGAGCGAATATTTTGTTTTCCATTTTGGATCACCATCCGAAGTACTTCGTTGGGATTTCGGCCCGAAAGAAGCTTTAGACTTTCCTAGACGAGTTGCTGAAGAATGTATTGCTGCTTTCACAGAACAGGTGAATATACTCAATAATAGTTTGTTTAGTTAAAACACCATTTCAATCCTTGCCGACCGGCGTTGCCATTTTCACCCTTACTTGACCTTTTCCCGTAGTAGGCAACGAATGTCAATAATCGATTGGGCCCATGACTGTGCACTTTCGATATTGACTGTAACAGTGTTCGTTTGATAGTGGTTTAATTTCTAATATCGTAAAATTTGTCAAATTAACTATGGTCGAAATGTTATTCCGTTTTTAATAAGTCATTTGTGTCATTCACACAGTCCCATATGAGTTGATGATATATGTGGGACATTGCATCACGGCCATTAGGCATGTTGTACAAATGATTTTAAAGAGGACCCCATGGTAAAGTAAATACATGTGATCAGAGGTCATCAGAGTATCGATCATCATGCACTATTTAATACTGCATCATAGCATACATATATAAAGTATTTATATATACGTTTAACTATTGCAAGGATTCAACTTACACCATGGTGTCCAAAATACTGATTGTTCAGATATATATTTGCCTTAGTGACGAGTCTAAATTTTTTTTTTTATGCTATTCAAACTCTGAGAAATTCTTTACCACATTTGGTTCACTCTGACAAAACTGAATACCGCATCGACGGCAGTGGCCCGATGCCTAGCTCTGCCACTGTGTTACACCAGCATATACATTATTGCATCCATCAAAAAATATTTTTTTTTTTTTATTCTTGGTAAAAAGTAATAAATTGTTTACATTGGAGAAAAAAAAAAAAAATGCACAATTTTCAAACTTTAAGTTTTAAATTTGTTCCATATTTTCCCATATAAATATATATACAAGTGTTATTTATAGAGTTTGTACTATTATATCTGTTTTTACTCTCACAGAAAGATGTGCCAAACACAGCTCTTGATATCGGGTGTGCAGTCGGGAGAACGTCATTTGAATTGGCCCGCAGATTTGAACATGTCGTTGGAATCGATTACAGTCATAATTTCATTGCGGCCTGCAATCAATTACGAGAAGATGGTTACATAGATTATGAAGTAACAGACCAGGGTCACCTGACAACCCAGCTGAGAGCTACAGTGCCAGACGATATAGTGAGTTATATACGCAAAATGAATGAATCATAGTATTAAGAGTATGCACATGCATGCATTAAATGAAGTAACCCCACTTTATTTTGTAAGATTT